CATCGATCCCTTCCTCCCCGCTGCTTTCAGTGGGCAGGGTTCAGATGGGTCTCACCGTTTCCTCACCCTCCAGTGAGAGCCGCTGAGGCCGAGGGCTCACAGATGACCCGGGGGAGCCCCCGCTTAGCTAGTTTTCTCCCTACCTCGAAGGAGACGCCAAGGAAAGGTGGCTTCTAACTTGGAGAGGCTGCGGCAGTCACCTGACCCCACTCCCTGCCACCTGCCTAAGCGACAGAAGGTAGGACCCATCTGTTTGTTCTAATGTGACTGGATCACAGAAAAACAATTAGCAGGTGGGAAATTTGTTTTTCAGGACACACACATAAACCTGCCATTACAGGGAGGACTCTGGTGCTAATTTAGCTGCAAATGGAATTGCCCAACTCAAGCTGATTACCGGAAGGTCAGAACATCTATATGCTCGGTTTCACTCCTACGCTAGGCATTAAGTTAATGTGCTGCCGCGATGGTGGCCGTGGTTCCCGGGCTTGGGTCTGGCCTCCGTTTCTGAGAGAGTTTTGAATTACAGAAGCAGAACCTGACACATGGTGTCAACTCCCCCCTTCCTACCCATCCCCTTTTTAAAGGAAAACAAACTCTGTTTTGTCCCATTTCTGGAGAAGCTTGAGATGTTGATTAAAAAAAAAACTGTGTGGTTAGAGCTCTTAGGCTGAGTTGGAAGGAGTAGATTGACCATGAATTCACTTGCTGTCCTGTTGGGAGCACTGATCCCACCTGTACATACACACACTGCTTCCAGACTCAGACCACGCTGGGCCGGAGCCTGGAGTGTGGGATTGGTGCCGGAAACCAGGGTGAGGGGATGGCAGACAGGCTTGTGGGTTCGTTTGGTTATTGCCGTGTACTGGAGTGCTTTTCAGATGTTTCTGACTGTAATGCACAGCCAGAAATTTATCTTACGCTTTTGAGTGTGTGTGTGTGTGTGTGTATTTTTTACTGACTAGATAATGAGGCACATGCATATGTAATATATCGCATTACATATAGTTTGAACAAAACAGACACACAGAAGTTTCCCAAAACAGTACCTACTCCATGCAGCGTACCCTAATATTTTTGGTTTGAATCTGGTCTACACCAGGGGTGAACCAATACATTGGTTTCACTCTCCACTTTTGGATGTCAGACTCTAGTTTGAAAACACCAGTTTAAGGGACTGGTGAAGGCGCTCAGTGTGAAGGGGGACCCCAGGTGAGGGCAAGTGGAGGGTGGAGAAGGTGGGTGAAGTAAGGGGTTGATTTCAAAGGATCGACTCAACCGGTCTTGATTGAAGTCGAATTAAGTCCCCAATTCAGGGCTCAGATTCTACTCTAGAACTGGAGCTAGAAAGTTACTCACAGAGGGTAGCTTGCCAGATATGTTGTTTAGGTTCATGCTTGTGGTTTATCTTGTCAAAGATAATTGTTTGTGGGCAGGAATTATCCTTAGGTTATTGCTGTCATTATGGTCTGCCTTTAGTTAGAATTAACATTCCTAGTCTTGAGTATCCTTAAGTTTTATTGTGTCTTATATGGTAGTAAGGTAGAACCTCATTTATTAATTCTACTACTATTTCTACCTAAATTTGTAGCTACCTGCAATTCCTTACAGAACAAGAGAAATGGATACTGACAGTCATCTGTAAGGCGAAAGGTCTTAGCTACACCAACAACTGATTGTCCTTCATAGTTGCACCATGAAGAGGATGCTACTGTCCTGTTGGGCGAATACTTCCTTTCTGGAGTATGAGTGGCAGGTTTGGGTTTGCATTCCACGCGGCAGAGCTGCTTTCCCCTGGTGGTTCAGCGTTAGCTTTCCAGCGATCATACTTAGGCTCTGGTCTCATCCTCGTTAAGGAGGTTGCCTATTTGGAGGATTAAAGGAAGATTCTGAAAAGTAAGATAATGGGGCAGGAAAAGATTTTCTGGGATAAAAGGCTTCTGAGGGCTCCTCAAACACAGAGGAGGGAAGAGACAGAAAGAGAAGGGAACCAGATTTTCTTGGCTTGGGTATTAGTTTAAGGTGAGGGTGACCTTGATTTATAAAGAGATTGCAAGTGGATGCTTAATAGAATTGGGTTTTTGGTATTTATACCACGTTATGTAAATGCTGCCCCTCCAAGTGTTTTTCTTAAATCCTCTTAGCTTATAAATGACAGCTTTGATTGCTTAAAAAAAAATAAAATCTTTCATTTATCCAGCCTGAGAGTAGTAAACAATAGATGCTTACTGCCCTGCTTTCATGTCAAGACTGAGACTTATAAAGGGTTTGTTGCTGTGCTTTTGAGCTTATTAAGGTCATGTGTAACTTGAGGGGGGAAAAGCTGATGGTGCATTATTGGTGCAAAGGCAGCCCCTGGAATTCTGCAGGACGTGTCAGCTTAGCAGTGCTCAGTAAGTAAGGTTGAAAATGCACTACTGCAGAAACTGCATGCATGCATGGCCCATTCGAAATGACTAGTGGTACTTTTTTTCTAGCCATCAGGATTGTTAGGGAATTAGACTTCTGCTCCATGACTTTGGATTCAGTTTCTGCTACAGGACCCCGAGATTGCAGCAGCGGAATGGGTGCGAGCTAATGGAGCTGTATATTTGGTGGTGTTGTGAATCGTTTCCCCTTTAGCTATAGTTGGTGACGTCTGTTATTCTGTACGTTTTTATAAAAAAAAGTCCCCACTCAGAACAGAGGGCCAGAGAGAAGAATTAAAAATTCAGCTCAACTCTGGCAAATGTAAATCACTAGGACCTTGGGGGCTATCATTTATTCAGGAAATGTTATATTCGGTACCTTCTCCGTGCCAGGCTCTGTGCATTGCCCTAGAGTAACACACGAGCCATAGCGTACGTCCCGGGACAGCATGAAGAGTGCCGCGAGTGTGGGACTGGAGAAGACCAGGAGACACAAGCATAGAAGCAGTGGGTTTCAGGAGCAGGGGCAGCCTGTGAGAAGCACTCTTCTCAAGGTAATTTATTTGCCAAGTGGTTGAGGCTTACCTGTTTCCTTTGTTTTATTTGGGCCACAGCGAGCTCTGTAAAGTTGGTCAGATGATACGGTGGTGTGTTGAATGTTTTGAGGGCTGGAAGCAGGGGCGCTGAGCTGGACGGGGAGACTTTTTGCACTCTGATGCGTGTGTGCCAGGGGTGAGATGTCAACCCCGAGAGGGTGAGTTCCCATGTACTGTATAGGCATGCCTTGCTTAGCATAAAGAAAATGGACAAAACCGATCTGGTCGACTCTTAATCCACCTGTACTCCTCTATCTGGAACAGACCTAAGGCCCAAGAAATGTCTAAAAATAATTTAAGCCTTTATGTACAGATGCACCCACATGGTGCCTATCTATACCTATAGAGCAGATTTGGAGATCTGATTTCTAAACTGATTTGCGGATTCTTTTCTTTCTTTTTAATGTTATGTTAGTCACCATACAGTACGTCATTAGTCTTTGATGTAGTGTTCCAATGAGTCATTGTTTGCGTATAACACCCAGTGCTCATTGCAACACGTGCCCTCCTTAATACCCCTTCAACAGACAAACGGATAAAGAAGATGTGGTTCGTATATACAATGGAATATTACTCAGCCATCAGAAAGGATGAATACCCACCATTTGCATTGACATGGATGGAACTGGAGGGGATTATATTAAGTGAAATAAGTCAAGCAGAGAAAGACAATTATCATATGGTTTCACTCATATGTGGAACGTAAGAAATAGCATGGAGGACATTAGGGGAAGGAGGGGAAATCGGAGGGGGAGATGAACCATGAGAGACTGTGGACTCTGGAATGGGTTAGCCCGGTGATTTGTGGATTCTGAAGGCAGAAAATTATGAAGAGAAGAGGAGTATATTATAAAAGGAGTGACCAGTCACAGTATGATAATATGATAGTTAACACTTTGAAAGGAAGGAAGAAGTGAAAAACTGGAAAAGAGAAGATGTAATCACTCAGAAAGCATCACTTAGCATCAAGTGCATTAGACTCAGGGCAGGGGAGATTTCCAAGATTTCTAGGGGATACAGTTGGAATCTGCGATTTGGAGCTGTTGCCCCGGTGATTTTCATGCCTCCCAGGTTGGGTATTTCTCTTCTACAGACAGTAAGGCAATGGATGACCCCTGTTCATCAAGAGGTGTTGTATTTGCTTTTAGGAAGACAAAGAATTATATATGAATTCTGAAAATATTTCCTATCAAAATGTTTAAAATTTGAAAGATTTAAGTACCAAATCCTCGGCACTTCGAAAAACCGGACTCTTGAGAGTCTTCTCTTCCCTGAAAGACTCACATTCTACTGCGTAGGAAATTCACACCGCGTAGACAATACTCATTTGTATTATAAAAAAAAAGTCAGTTACCTTATAAGCGGTAAACTCTTACTGCACTTTATAAATAACACTTTATGTATGTTATACAGATTTGACTTGCAGTTTTCCAGAAGCCCATCTAAACATCTGCAGTACTTTGTGTCTGTCCCTCTTATTTGCCGCTTATGATGTCATTATTTCGCTTACTAGATTCTATATCTGAACCCATCTTCCTGGACAGAAAATGTGTTCTTATGTTTTCTAGCTCCTGTACATAGCAGGTCCAATAAATATTTATCAGATGACTACTAATGAAACAGTTATACTGGGCTTTCTAATTAATCCTTTACCGACCATGTAGATACTTTCCATTATCTCTTTTTCCCCTTTGTGGTTACACACTAAAATTTTTATGGTATTTGAACTGCATTTGATGATTAGAGTTGTCAGAACACTTGAATTGCTTTTTTATGTCTTTGCTTTTCCCTTACTGAATTAAAGGGCGGAAGCAGCATGAGGCATTGTGGAATGTGAATAGGTTATAGGCTTCAGATGCGGCTCTGAAGCGGGTTCTGGTGGTTGGCATGTCCTTGCCTTGATGGGGTCACTGCGGTGAGGCAGGGGCCTTTGGGGAAGCATGTACCACAGCACCGAGAGGACGCTCACCTGTGCTCACTCTGTCGTTGGTCCCAGGTGACTGTGGAGGAGGTCATGACCACAACTGCATATCTGGACCTTTTCCTGCGTAGTATCTCCGAGCCAGCACTACTTGAGATCTTCCTCCGTTTTATCCTCTTGCACCAGCACGAGAATGTCCACATCCTAGATACTCTCACGAGCCGAATCAACACCCCATTTCGGGTAAGGAGAGCCCCAGAGAAAGGGGCTTTAATAACTCAGAATGAATTTCAGGAGAGTTTGTTTTGGGAATGAGGAATATTCTTTTTTCTATTTCCCCCCCTTTTCTTCTTGTGGCTGTTATTATTATGACACCATTCTGAATTCCATTGACCAGGTTTTAAGTCCATCCTGCCTAGAAGACAGACTAGCACTTTCTCACTGGGGCAACAAATTTCTTAAGTGGTCTGATGGTATGATAAAAAGCTTACCCCCAAAAGGGCACAATGATTTTATAATACACCTTTGGGTATCTTCCCTGTTTGGCTGTTTATCTTTCATTTTTGGAAATTAGAGGTTGAAAGGATTCTTGTTTTTGACTGAACTTCTTAGAAAAGTATATTGTCACACCCTCAGCACTACTGGAAATGGAACCAAGGAGCATGTTTGCCTCAAAGCCAAGACACAAGCCAAGCGGAGCTGAGGCGGGGGGCTAAGAATTCCAGGCAGGGAGCTGGCCAGGGCATATGTAATTTTCTGTCAGCCCTGTCTCGTAAATAACCAGTGTCGTGTTTGAAAATAACTTGGGGAAACAGGTGCCAAGCAGGAGATCGTGTGTGTGTGTGTGTGTGCGTGCGTACGTTGGAGAGTTGCAGGGGCACATTTATGTGGATCTTTAAAAGTCGGAAATAAGAGCAGAGGCATTTTGTAGGAGGTTAATTCTGCGTAATGGCATAATTCTAGGCATAGGCTTCCTAATCAAATCCTGTAGGAGAACTAAAAGTCTTAACACACATTCTCTCTGGCAGCACCATGTTTTTATCAAAGCTGCTAAAAAAAGAGGCCATTTTATTTTGTAATTCCGATTTACTTTCCATCTGTGGGGAGCAGAGCTATCCTTCCAATATCTGAAATAGAATGTGTGTTTATTGCTTCCCAGCTCTGTGTGGTGTCCCTGGCATTATTTAGAACTCTCATCGGTTTACATTGTGAAGATGTGATGTTACAACTAGTTCTAAGGTGAGTTGTCATCTTTTGTTCTCTGTAAAGGAAAACTCAAATCTCTACTATTGCTATTATATTTTTCTTGGGGCAGTGTAAACTCAATAGGGGCCATGCTTCTAAGGAAAAAAATTATTAAGGATATCAGTCTAATTTCTGTATTATTTCCCAAGGTTAATTTTAGTTTTACTCTTAAGAGTTTTTAGGAGGCTGAATACATTGTATTATAAAATATGCTCCTGGAAATAATAGGCTGTTTGGAAATTTTCAGATTCTGAAAGCTCCTCTGCTCTGCGGCTGAATGTCCTTCTCCTGAAGTACATTTTTAGGGGCGTGTGGTATTGGGGACAACTTTCCCAAATATGAAATGCTCTTGATATATAATCTCGACGACTCTTGCTCTCCTAATGGTACACCTACAGTGTGCACTCTCTGACCTCTCAGTGTGTTTCAATTAAATTCAGTAAATATTTAATGAGTGCTTCCTGGGTACAATTCAGAAGAGAGTAGGACATGGGGTGGACAGATTGGAAAGGACTTATAAACAAGGTAGAAAAGGTACGACCCTCAGAAGTACAGGGGAGAAAGGTTTCGGCAGGTGGCTGGTATTTGAGGACAGGTGTCAGGAATCAAAGTAGACAGTCATTAGGATGACGCTGATTTGCTCATTAGGCAGGGCTCCTCAGGAACACTGAATCCTGCCTTGGCCCAGCACTGCCTCTCCTTCTGGGGTCCCCCAGGGGAGCACCTGCTTTTGTAAAGGAGGAGAGGGAGAGTTGGCCGGGGTGTGTGCCTCCTACCTCCCCCTCTGGTGGTAGGGAAGCCAACCAGGGTTGCCTGGCACTGCCCGCCCCCCCCCACCAGCCCCGCTTAATGGATGTTCTGACCCTTCCTTTGACCCCTCCTTGGGAATAAGGGCAGAAGAAGCCTAGGGCAGGGGAACAGGGAGGAGACTTGGACTGCCCCTGGTCACCATTGGATTTTGACACAGTGTGAGTAGAATTACTGAGGAGATGGCATTCCAAGTGAATGTGACGGCCATTTCCAGCATGCTTGCTGTGGGAAAGTAGGGGGTTGGTGAGGTGATGGTGGGAACAGGGGCCTCACCCAGGAACACGTCAGAAATGCAGATGCTTGGTCGCCTGGGTGGCTCAGTTGGTTAAGCGTCTGCCTTCGGCTCAGCTCATGGTCCCAGGGTCCTGGGATTGAGCCCTGCATCGGGCTCCCTGCTCGGCGGGGAGCCTGCTTCTCCCTCTGCCTACCTCTCTGTCTCTTATGAATAAATAAATAAAATCTTAAAAAAAAAAAAGAAATGTAGATGCTTGACCTCCTCCTAGATGTGCCAGCTCAGACTCTGGGGGTGGGTGGGGCCCAGCGAGCTATGCTTTGATGAATTCTCCAGAGGATTCTGCTGCCTGGCTAATGTTGAGAACCACTGGTTTAAGGAAGGGTGCAGTGCAGCGAAAGCATTCTGCAATGCTGGAGTGATTAAAAAAGCCGCGCTGGGTAACGTGGTGGTGGCGTCATGGTGGAGGCCTTACAGTGTCGCTGTTTTATGGGCGAGCATCCCCTGTTCATTTTTTCAGTGTAAAAAGAGTTTTGGGGCTTTCTAGGGGTTTAGAGTAGGTCATCAGTAACTGATCTTAAGGCATTGGCAAAGACCAAACCTAATCACGAAGAGAGAGCCTCAGTAGTCTGGCTAGGACATTTGAGGTAGAACGTCCCATCCAGAAGGATTGCTTTGGCCTCCCATCCAGTCTCTGCTGACATGACAGATGCATTAGCAAGGCCTGAACGTAATCCGTCATGGAGACTTGTTAAAGCCCTTTTTTATTGCCAAAAACCAGACTTCGCCTCCAGCAAGGGGTAAAACCTGATCATATTTAAATGTTAAATTCTTAACCATTGCTTCTTGGGCGGCATGAAACGCAGCCGTCTTTTTCAGAGTCTCTGGAAGCCTGCAGAGTTTCTCCCCTCTGAGCGGCCACATCCGATTGAGCCTGGCTGCTGGCAGCTAGCCGTTCAGGGCCCTCTGCATGGGGATCGAACACCCCTCGCCTTTTGTCTACTCATAGAGCGGTGCTCACTGTGTTCCCAACTGTCCTCAGAGATTGCATCAGCTTCTTTTTGAGGCCCAGGCATGTACCACGTGAAGGGGAAGAAATCGGCTCGTGGTTGCGACCTTTCCGTGTCTGGGTCAGGGCTAGTCATTTCCAGGGCGTAGAGGGACTAGTTCTGCATGGGGTCGTGGAAGACCTGTCCCACGTAACCACCTGCTCTTAGGCTCTCTGAGCCCGAGTACCTTCCTTGCTTCTTTAACTGAGGATGATGGTGATGATATAATGATGATCGTGGCCCTTGATTTAATATTTTTTTTTTTAAAGATTTTTATTTATTTATTTGACAGAGAGAGAGACAGCGAGAGAGGGAACACAAGCAGGGCGAGTGGGAGAGAGAGAAGCAGGCTCCCCTCTGAGCAGGGAGCCTGATGCGGGGCTCGATCTCAGGACCCTGGGTCCATGACCTGAGCTGAAGGCAGATGCCTAACGACTGAGCCACCCAGGCGCCTCTAATATTTTATTTCTAATTCCGCCTCGCTGCCTGAGGGAGTCGACGAGGGGAGCGGATGAGGGGACGTATGTGGGAGTCAGGCATGTGGCGGCCTTGCGGGAAGCCTCAGCTTCCTGGTCTCCGTCTTCTCAACAGCGGCCTCTTTCCCCTCTCACGTTTTCAAGTATTTTTAATTGTTGTAACATACACGGAAAATTTACCAGCGTCACCGTACAGTTCAGTGGCATTAAATACATCCACGTGGTGGTGCAGCCGTTGCTACCATCCATCTCCCGCTTCCGGTCACCCTGCCACACAAACACCCCGTACCCAGGACACACTCACTGATTCTCCCTCCTCCTGCCCCTGGAGGCCGCTCTCTGCCCTTCCACTTTGTTTCTGTGCATTTGCTGACTCGAGGGACCTCATCTAAGCGGAGTCATACCCTTTGGGTACCTGAATCATTTCACTTAGCATAGTGTCTTCATGTCGTTTCCCGTTTCCCCTTCATGTCAGAATTTCCTTGCTTCTTTAGGCTGACTAATACTCCATTGTTATACCACATTTTGTTTGTCCATTTATTGTCGATGGACCTTTTGGGGGGTTTCCACTTTCTGGCTGTTATGAACAATGCTGCTATGAACATAAGAGTGCACGTACCTCTCTTCAGCACCTCGCTTTCGGTTCTTATAGGTGAGTTACCCCGAAGTGGGATTGCTGGTTCACATGGTAATTCTACTTGAAATCGTTTCTGTTTTCTGTAATCGCGGCACCATTTTACGTGCCCACTAACAGCGCGCCAGGGCTCCAGTTCCTCCATATCCTTGCCAACACTTGTTATTTTCTGCCCAAGAAATGGTGTTTCAGTAATCAAGCAAAAATGACAGGCAGATTTGTAGAACCAACTAGAGCTCTTAGAAATAAAAACTAAATATTACAATGAAGAACTGAGGGTTTGGGTAAATAGCGTGTTTTAAGACACAAATTAAGAGAATTAATGAGCGAGGAGATGGATTGAAGAAGTTACTAAATTTGCAGCAGAAAGAGATAAAGAGATTAAAAAATGAGGACAAGGCTATGATGGTGGCGGTTAATCTGATAAAGGGTGACACATCCCATTAGGGTGAGAGTGATCTGCCCGCTCGACTTGACCTAGTCTGGTTTTCGAATTTCTATCTCAGAATAAGGTGTTTGGGAGAATCAGTTGTGGTGGTATCTGTGAAAAATGTTTTGAAACACTGTAAAAGTACTACACAAATTGAAAGGAGGAGAATTCCCTGGAAAATACATTTTAAACTAATGAAGACATTGTCTTTTCTGTTATAGAATCTGTACAGAAGCAAGGACAGTGAAAAATCCTTATTCTTCTAGTCATTTAAACTTTTATCTGAAGGGACATAAAAAACCAGATTTATAATCTGTCCTTTCTGTTGTTGCCACTGTGGTGGTTCAAATGTGTATGATAGACTCGTAGATCTGGAGACAGCAGAGCAGTCAAGATTCTGTGAATCTCCTTAAATGAAGCTATTTGTTAGGTGATAAATAATATCGTCAATAAAAAATTGACGATATGTCAATTTTTGTTGCAATCCAAATACTCTTAAATACTGACATTTCAAAGTGATAATCCGTTGGCAACTGATAGCATAATTTCTTTCAGTTAGCATAATATCAGGAAATGTAAGTTGAAATAAGGTACCCCAAAAGAGAGGCTATTTTGGTGAGTGAAAGCCAAGGAGAAGCTGTCCACCTCCGTGGATGTGATGTACAATGGGCCAAAGGCAGGCAGGAGATGCTGATAAGCAGGGAAGTGACAGATTACCCCATGTTCCTGGCACTTTCCAGTTTAAGCAAACACAATTTTTTAAAGATTTTATTTAATTATTTTGAGAGAGAGAGAGTGAGTGAGATTGAGCATGCGTGGGAGGAGAGGGGCAGAAGGAGAGAGAGAACCTCAAGCAGACTCCACGCTGAGCGCTGAGCCCAACACGGGGTTCCATCTCACAACCATGAGATCATGACCTGAGCTGAAATCAAGTCAGATGCTTAGCCCAATGCGCCACCTAGGCTCCCCTAGGCAAAATTTAATTGCTTAGTACTCTGAACGCCATTTCTGAATATTCTGGTAGGGCTTTTTTTTTTTTTTTTTTTTTTCCCAGAAGTGCTGGTCCATTGTCAGGTTTTTGAATTACATTGCCTGTTGTGTTCAGATAGAGGATGTTTTGCTCCAAGAGAAGTTGCGTGTCCACTTCAGGAACATTTCCATCTTGCATGGCAGTTAGGTGTCTGGGGGAGAGTGCAAAAAAAAAAAAAAAAGAAAGAAAGAAAAAAGGCAAGCCAGCCTAGGGTAAGATGAATAAGAGAAATATGGTCAAAATGTCTTTGAAAAACAGTCTTTTGAAATGTACTGATGTTGCTTTGTAGATTTTGGCCTATCCGGGTATTACTGAGGTTCTCCCCACCTCTTAGAAGCACCGTGCTTACTTCATTGTACTCACTTCACTGCTTTGTTTTGCTTGTGTTGCCTGTCAGTGTAACATGCAGTAGGCAATATATGTGCTTCGTTATTGATTGTCTGTCACTGAGTTATTTCCGAAGCGATGATGACGACTTGCTTCAGTGAGTGATATCCAGGAAAATAGATAGTAGGCGCAGGGTTGCTGAGCTTTGGTTGGGGAAGTGATGCAAAAAGGGGAGGACAATACGGACAGTATCATTTTTTCCTGCTGTATTGTAGGATGGCTTTGGGTAATCCAGATGTCTAAAGTTAGTTATTCGTTTCTGATTATTTTTACTACTTCCTGAATTTAAACAAAACCCCCGAACAAAGTAAGTATAGTACAAATGAATAGATGGCTTGATGACAAACACCTATATTAAATTCCTGAGTGATTTTTCTCCTATTGACAGCCACTTCATTTTGATATTTGACATTAGGGCAGCTTAAGGCATTCATTCGTTCCTAATCTTTCCCTGTAAACATTGGGAAGACAGAAGGTCAATGCATGGTTTTTCCGCTCTTCCCTCTGGGATAATTCTTTATTACAGAAGCACACTAGAAGTACTGCCTTGCATATAAGGTCGGGTGGGGGTTATCCATTTGAACTGACTCTCCATTTTCAATTTGATAGAACCTCTCCTTCAACCTATAGAGGAATCTCTGTTTATTTGATTTACTCAGAAGAAAATTCTTAGTTTCTCCTGAAAACCTGTGTTTGCGAAGTTGCAAATTCCCAGTAACTCTTTATTCTAATATAATTTCAAGCTACCCACTGGTGATATTTGATAAATAGCTTTATTAGGTTTGATCCAGTGTTCCATTTTTAAAAAATACTTCAAAACAAGGAGTAGAAATCTATATCAACTTAAATCATGAACTATGCTTGGTTTGAGCTGTAAGTATCATTGAGTTCCTGCAGTATGTGAACGCAATGAAGCGGTTTATTTCTTAAATAATTAATGATCAAAATAAAGAAACAGTAAATCCTGTGTCTTCTGAGTTTCCCTGGGCCTCACCAGCCTGTGAGAACAGATCAGTTCATGTCAGCAAGCACACGATATGTTTTTCCTGATCCTCACCCCTCATGTAAGACCTTGGTCTTAGGGAGGGGTCTTAACGCATGGTCACGAACAAGTCTGTCCCCCACTGTCGTTGCCACAGTGACGTCTGGCATGGCCTCTGCATGCGCCGTTTCTTCACCACTGGTGTTCAGATACAAGACCCCAAAGCTGGGCCAAGAATTAGCACAGACCCGCCCCCCTTTCCCATAGTGCCTTCCCCTCTCTCCTTTCTGCTTGTACGACCTTTGATTTCCATGCACTCCAGCTTACGAAAGTAGATGCCACCACCTCAGACAGGCGGGGGTCTGTCTGCAGACCGACCAAAGCAAGATGAGGCTTCAGGTGTGTGGGGGCTGCGTGCCTGAGGGGGCAGGGGCGAGGAGGCTGGGACCCCCTGGCAGAGCACTGGGAGGATGGCTTGGTTTTTTTTTGAGACTGGAAGGGGTAAGTGGCAAGGTTGTCATTTCATAGCTTGAGAGTTATTAAGGCCTTTATTGTAAAGCACCATGAAAGGAATTCAGTCTGTTTTCTGCCTTGACTCGGGCTCTAGCAGTCGGGTAGCTGTTAATGTCTACGTAGGTTTTCCTCATTTGGATCAACAGGAGATGTGGGAGAGTTGTTTTCAGGCCTCGAGACATACCCTGAAAGGTGTACTTTCATCTCTTTCACCGAATCCTTCATCATAGCTCGTTGTCATCGGTCCTGCCTCTTTCTCAAGAGCCAAAAACAGAACCAAAACCGTTCTGGTTGACTGAAGATTGTGGTTGTCCGTAGAAGGGCTCCGGGTCTTTGGGAATTGGCTCCTGCACACACGGGACCCTCGGCTCTGGTAGGACGCCTCCAGCCCACTTGTTCCATCTTTGTTTAAAGAAACAGGATGGTCTTTCTCCCTGTTCAGAAAGTAAGCCATTTAAGCAGACTTTATTCTACCTGTGAAGCTCACTGATGTGCTCCAAGAGTCAGAAACGTTTGCCCAGATTTTCTTGCCTCTAGGTTCATAGTGGTACTCATTTATTTTTGATCACCAACTAAAACTGTTTTGTGTAAAAGGGGGCCCAGTGCTCCTTGTGAGCCCTTGGCCGCTGTGATATTGTGACTTATAATAAGAAATACATATTTGGTCTCTGTCCTGGGTCTGGCACAGAGCTCCTTAAACCTCTGGAATTTCCTAAGTGATGAGAGGAACCAAAGGTGTGTTTGTTATGTTAATGAGGCCAACCTAGGACCCAACCTGAGGATGGAGACTGGTTGCCGGGAGACCCAACCATGTGATTAGAGGGTTAGAACTCAGTCCCACGCCCCTGACCTCCAGGGGAGGGGAGAGGGGCTGGAGGTTAAATCAGTCGCCAGTGGTCAGTGATCTAATCAATCATGTCTGTGTAGTGAAGCCTTCCTAAAAATCGAAAAGGATTGGGTTCAGAACCTTCCGGGTTGTTGAACACATGGAGATGTGGGGAGAAGGGCACTCTTGGAGAAAGCATGGAAACTCTGAGCCCTTTCCCCACACCCTTCCCTGTGCATCTCCTCCCTCTGACTCTTCCTGAATTCTATCCTTTTCTAATAAACCAGTGATCTAGGAAATAAAATGTTTCTCAGAGTTCCCTGAGCCACTGCAGCATATTAGTTCCAGCATATCCAGGGAGGTTGTTGGAACCTCCGACTTACAGCGGGTTGGTCAGACTAGGCTTGCGATTGTCATCTGAAGTGTGCGTATGTCGGGGGACAGTCCTGTGGGACTGAACCCTTAACCTGTGGGATCGGACGCTATCTCCAGCTAGATAGGGTCGGAGTTGAGTTGAATTGAAGGACGCCCTGCTGGTGTCTGGAGCATTGCTCGCTTGTTGGTGTGCGGAAACCCTCCCCCCTCTGCCTCACCCCCATGTTGGAACTGGTGACCAGAACACCTTTAGCCACCATATTTTCTCATGGTCAAGGGATAGCAGACCCATTAAGAGAGGAGATGGTTCGTGGAGGTTATAGCGCAAAGGACCTTACGTGCTCTGCAGAGGGGTGGTTCTGCCAGAAGAAAGAAGCCCTTGACGGGTCTTGAGCTAGGGAGTGAACGCTGGGGGCTGGTCGGATGGATGGATTGGGAGTGGGGGGAGGACGAGTCCAGCCCCGGGCCGGGACTAGTCCGATGGGAATGGGCGTCGCAGAGACCGAATGCAGCCCGTGTTGTCCCTTCCAGGTATCTGATCCCTTGCAACCACATGATGCTGAGCCAGAGATGGGCCGTGAAGGAGAGAGACTGCTACTCTGTTTCTGCGGCCAAGCTGCTCGCCTTGACCCCCGTCTGCTGCTCCAGCGGGATCACCCTGACGCTTGGCAACCAGGAGAGGGATTTTATTCTCTGGTCAAAGTGTACGCACAATAGTTCAGGTAAAAGGAACTGGCTAGGGGCTGATCTTGAAACGAAAGGATGCCAGATGCCATTCCTCCTCGGGATATGTGTCTCTTTGGGTAGACGGGGAATAATGTTGTGTGTCCCATTTCTTTAACGAATAGCCTGGGTGGCGGTCTTCTTCTGCTTCGTCCGGAGTTATGGCCACTTGGTAATCAGGGTGCATTGAAATGCCCACCAGTCACCGGGTCAGTGTTCCCAGACCTTTATTTTAACCAGGCTTTTTTTCGCATCCTCAGAGTACAGATATGGAAACATGTGCCAGCAGGTGTGGAGATGGTTATAGCTAGAGACAGGATTAGCCCTTATTTTAATTTCCAAAATGACTCTTGATCTGCTGAGGGTTTTTTTTTTAAAAATAAATATTCTATTTTTTAAAAATAGGACTTAAAGTACATGTGCTGTTTGCCAACTGCAGTTGATCTTATACAAGCAAAATTTAGATGGTCACCTATACCAGCCTTGGCCCTCAGGCAGGCAGCTGCAACAAGGGGACATTTGTTGATGCTTGGTGGTCAGAAGGCTATTTCAGTTCAGGGAGGTTCTGCCTGACAAAGAGTCCAGCCCTGGGATTGACCCCAGTGTTTCCAGTCTGTATTCTGATAGCCCCCCAAACAATGTCATCCTGTTGACCCAGGTACCATCCTGTTAGAGAAAGCATTATTTTGTCTAAGAGCTGGGCTCCTTGGCTAAGAAAATATCAGGGTGTTTGGTGTGAGTGTAATTGTTACAAATTAAGGTTGTCTTATTGATTCTTTAAATAAAGATACAGTGTCTCATGGAAACTAATAATTTATGTGGCAGGAAAACAAGTTGGATTTTAAAGATATTTTCCGACGAGGTAAAGCAGTACGGTTATCTTCTCTTTTCCTTCCTGTAGTCATTTTTTAGAACCTCTTTGAAAATTGATGTCTTTTTTATTTACTAAGAAAGTTGTTTCAAGAATGATTCTGGGGCTGACCTTGCTGCAGAATTCCAAATTTAAGTTAAGCAAACCATCGCTGAATGCCCACAACTTTTGCCACCTTCTTTCCCTGTCATCACATTTAATCCTCTGAAGAAAGTAGTGTTGCCATTTTACAGATGAAGAAACGTACTCAGAGGACGTGACTTGTCCAGGGTTACACAGCTGATAGGTTCTTCCCACTTTTCTGCTCTGGAGTTGCCTTCCTGTGGATGGGCGCCTAGTGGATGGATGGCTGCACAGGCAGGCGGGTAGACAGGTCATGTCATGTCCAGTTCTGGCCTGGCCTGGTAGAGAGGTAGACGATGAAGAGACAAAGATGCTTGCAAAGGTGTGGCATCGAACAAAGTGAGCATGGAGGTTGACCACCGACAGCCTGTGCTCGGGCCGTGGCCCTGCCACTGACTAGTCAGTCGGGTGATCTTTTGTCTCTGAGCCTCAATTCCTTTGTCTGTAAATGGAGAAGACGCTATCTACCATAGAGGTCCTTCAGGAGGAGTAGTTAGTGTTAGTAAAGCACCTGCCGTAGAAGAGATGGTAGAGTTCTACGTCTCTGTCTATGCTTCCATACTTCTGTGAGGGCAGGGGTTCTGTTCTTAGCATTCCATCTTCTTCTTCTTTTTTAAGATTATCTATATTTAGAGAGAATGTGAGTGGGGGCGGGGGGAGAGAGAGAGAATCTCAAGCAGATGCGGAGCTCGATCCCAGGACCCTGAGATCATGACCCGAGCTGACATCAAGAGTTGGACGCTTAACCGGCAGAGCCACCCGGGCGCCCCCTTAACATTCCTTCTTAAAATCTAACCATTTTTTATGATTCAGAAATCGTTTAATCAGAAATGATTAGAGCTAAAGTAGCTGGGGAGGCAGAATCTTAGCACCCGCGTGAGTCACATCCGTGTCCACTGCCTGTGTCCCCTCACCTCTCGGAAGGGTAAGCAAGGGGCTCGTTCTGACTCATTTGTGCCTCCCATGGCAGGGACCATGGAGCAGCCGCGGGCTGAGGCGTTCTCTCCGTCAGCCTGCATCGTGGAGTATGGCAAAGCCCTGGACATCAGCTACCTGCAGTACCTGTGGGAGGCCCACACCAACATCCTCCGCTGCATGAGGGACTGCCGAGTCTGGTCCGCCCTGTATGACGGAGACTCCCCTGACCCCGAGACCTTTTTCCAGAGTCTGACAGAGCCCAGTGCTCTCACCTCCCCCTGTCCCGTGGTCTGGCTCCCGCAGCAACTCCCCAAGGGGACCGGCCCCGCGCTGGCTCCCAGAAAGGAGAAGAGCCAGACCGAACTGGAGTGGGACGACAGCTACGACACGGGCATCTCCTCGGGGGCAGATGTGGGCTCCCCCGGGCCTTGTGATGACCTGGAGGATTCAGGCCCGCCGGCGCCCGCTGATCCCCCCAGACACATCCAGGAGATGAAGAAGAATGCCATCCTGCTCTTCAAAGGGTCCTACATCGAAGAGTCTGACTTTCAGGATGATGTGATAGTGTACAGGCTGTGCGCCGAGAAGGACGCTGAGGACACCAGGAGTTCCCAGGAGGGAAGCGCAAGGCCCTCCAGCCCCGGCCAGACTGAGGATCGGGGTCCCCCCCTGAACAACGGCCCCCTGCCCAGCCCTCAGTCAGAAACAGATTCAGAGGAGGACAGGGACAGGGACAATTCAGACCCGTTTCAAAATGTATCCAAGGAACCAAAACAAGAAGCCGAGCCCAAAGGAGCCCTAGAATCAAACTCCGAGTTAGCGCCTCCGCTCTCCGAGGCAGAACCCAAGTCAGACCTGATGGTCATCAACCCGGCGGGTGAAGACTTCATTGCCCAGTATGACCAAATCATTAAGGAACTGGGTTCTGGCGCCGAGGGCTTGAGAGAACAGAATTGCCCCGCACCCGATCTCTTGCATCTCCCGAAAGAGCAAGAGGGGAGGGAAGAAGAGAGTGAAGAAGAGGAGGAAGCGGAGGAGGGGAAGAAGGCCCTGGAGGAGGAGGACGACGACGATGCTGACTTTGATTCCTTTATAGCAGAAACCCCCACCACTGATGCCGTGCCATCCCCCTTTGGGCCGAGAGATGAAGCTGCCTTTGCCAGTCACCATTCTGTGAGGACTCCGAGCACCCCGTTCACAGGTGACGATCTCGCATTGCTTTCTGATTTCTGCTTTTTTGAAAGTCTGTCTTGCAGCAGGGAAGTGAGGTAGGGGGAGGGAAGGAGCATTATCAATTTACCTAACAGAGGGGGGTCACAGTATTTCTGTGAAGAGCAGAAAGGCCTGGTTTCATTTTCATTTTATTTTATCTTGTCGTTCTAGCAATCTTTTTTTTTTCTTTCCCCCAGCCAATCAGAGGATATATTGCACAGTTGAGTAACTACTTCCCTTGATCCGTGTGTGATAAACTAATAGGACCGATGAAACCACACAAAAAAATCCAGTCTCATTATTTAATAGCCTCATTTCCTTTAGTTTAATTACTTTTTCTCCATAGCATGTGTTCTTAGGTGTACTGAAAAAATTATGGTTTCCCCCACTAGAAGGCACAGGTGTTGGATTATTCTCTGCACTTCCCCAGCACCTGAACGGGGAACAGAGCGCACAGTGGGTGCTCAGAATACCTGCTGAATAAATGTAGCTGTGTACACACATTGGAGACCGCTGGAGTTAGTTACACCTTTGCTTGGGAGCTCATTTCAGATCATCTCAAAACCTTTATCCAAAAATAAGCAGGCTAGACCCCACATAAACCTGTAACTCTGCCAGAGAATGGGTGTGTCCAGTGATACACCCCTAACAACGGGGCAATCATAATAAGAGCCGAGGGGGTAGGATGGGGTATCAGATAAGTGGATCGAGTTGAGGCATTGTGATAGAAAACATCATTAAATATTAGCCAGTCAAATCTGAATCTGCCAATAATGGAGCAGAAGGAACTGGCGCCGAGTGTTCATCAAATGCAGGGAAAGCTGGGGCGGGACCCCTGAACAGCGTTCGGGCAGCGAGGAGAGGTCCCGTTAGGAGCTGACATCCCAGTGACCTTGGAGTCGGGCTGTGGGGGGAATCCTGGCTCTAGCACTTGCAGCTGTGAGGTCCTAAACCCCCTGATTGCTCCTGTGGGGATGGAATGTGATACTGGGCACGGGGTGCGTGTGTGTTGTTATTGCCGTTATTAGAGGCTGCCCCCGGCAGCCTCCGCTGAGGCTTGCCCTTATCCGGCCGGCGGGGAGCAGCTTGGTGAGTCTCCACCATGCTCCACTTACTTGGGTCACCCGAAAGAGAAGAAATCACATGATCTTATGGTCCAGCCCGTAGGCTTATTAATGTGATTTCAAGTAGCTCTCCCACCCTCCTCCAGGATTTATTCATCTATTTACTGATGCCTGACAATTTAGTTAAAGAGGGCGAAAACTTTTAATTCCACAATTAAAAGGCTTGAGGTTCTAGTTGAGGTAACATTTCAGTGTGAATGGGTTTTAATTAAAATTCAATCAGTCAGTCAATCATAAGCAAGAAGAATTAGATAATCTCAGTTTTCCCAGGTGATAGGGCGAAGGGGAGGAGAGGGGAGGGACCCGGAGGGCCGTGGCTGCCTGAAGGAGGGGCAGAGAGCTCAGTGGAGGGAAAGGGGCACTGGTCCCCTAGCACACACCCCCATTTTACCTGGGGCCTGCGCCCTTGACTCTGACCCAGCTGGACATCCCAACTTTGCAGCTTGATCTCCTGGAAGTGCCAGCCACCCAGGGCTGAGGGTTGTTCTTTAGAATGCCAGCTTTCTTAGAAGGGAGCTTCAGCCCTGGGAAATATGTAGATTGAGGAAACAAAGTCTAGCTCAGGGCAAGGAGTAAAATCTAATACAACACCTTATTCAGTAATATCAATACTCTGCATAGGATACACAGGAGAACCAACACAACGTAATGTGAGTTTTTTGATACAGAGAGATAATTTTAACTAAAACTTTGCTTTTTTTCCCCTCCTTTGGAATTCGTACACAGCTTCAGGAGAACATCTTTCCTCCTAACTTTGTAGTTTCCAAACTACGTTAACTTCCATCCCTCCATGGAATCCTGATTTCCACTGAAGTGAATTTGCTTCTCAGCAAAATCAAAGCATTCCATTTCATTTACCTAATTAATGTTATTTGTGCATTCAGTAACATTTGATTGACCTCCTAATACATGGCAGGTTCTAGGCCAGATACAAAAGACAGAGAAATGAAGGAATTCCCAGGCTTTCAGAGGAGACGTGGCCAAAGAACTGTGCTCACTTAGGAATGCATTATTAGTGATGTCTGGCATGCCCTAGGGGAGCGCAGGATGGGGAGCGGAAAGACTTCCCGGAGGAGGGGCGCAAACGGTGGACAGGAGCTACCAGGTAAAAATAGCCCAAACGATGGTCCCCGGCAGAGGAGACAAGCGGCAGAAGACGAAGGAGCCTGGCCGTGCGTGCGTGGGTATGACAGATCTCAGCTCCCGTGAGGCAGTGAGGTGTTTGAGACAGGAAGCCAGAAATCTCTGGAGGTGAGGTGGGGGCGGTGGGGGGCGGTCCCTGGGCTAAGCTGGGAAACTGGGACCGTGTGCTGCCGGCACTGAAGAACCCGGGAGCGTTGCAGTTGGCAAGTGCTGTGACTGGTCTGTGTGGGCAAGGCCAGTGTGGAGTGGTGTGCAGAGTGTGCCCAGCACACTGCAGGGGGTGGGGGCGCCTCCGGAGGAGCAGGTGGGAGGCGTTTATCATTGGATCAGAGTTTAGAGTGCCCTAGTGCTTTGTTCCTGGGAATCTGTCACAGGCCGTGTTCACACCCGTGTGCCAAGAGGTAGACACAAAGATGTTCACTGCACTGTTGTTTATCATAGAAGAAGATTGGAAACAACCCGCGTGTCCACCAGTAGGAGACCATTTTACTATGTGGTACCCAAGGCAGCTGAATAGCTTGTGGCCTTGAGATGAAGGAGACAGCTAGCTCTCTGTGTGGGTGGGGGACAGTCTCTAGGATAGAGTGGTAAGTGGGAACCTAAGGGGCAGAACAGTGTGGGGAGAATGTTGTCACTTGGTCAAAAAAGCCCACAAAAACGAAAACCAACTGGGCGCCTGGGTGGCTCAGTCGGTTAAGCGTCTGCCTTCGGCTCAGGTCATGATCCCGGGGTCCTGGGATGGAGTCCCACGAGCAGGGAGCCCGCTTCTCCCTTTCCCTCTGCCTGCCAGTTGCCTACTTGTGCTCTGTCTCTCTGTCAAATAAATAAATAAAATCTTTTTTTAAAAAAAAACCAACAACGAAAACCAACTAGGACACGCACACGGAGGCAAGATAGCGTGTTAAGAGAAGCAGCACTGGAAACAGATGGGCTTGATTATGGCTATGACTTAGCATTCTGCTGCATCGTTAAATGGGGATAAATAATAAAGTTCGTAGCGTTCTGTAGAATATTTAAGTTGATGCATGAAAAGCGTAGAACACTTCGAACACTGCCTGGCACATAATACGTGATTAGTAAATGTTTTTCATAATAATTCAGTCATAATTATTTTATTATAGATGTGAAACATTTCTGGAAGAATACACTCAAATCTGTTAACCGGGGTTGCCCCCAGGGACGACGCCTATTCTTTATTTTATACTTCTGGAGTGTTTGAAGAAAATTAAAAACCGTGTTAATCTCTACTAACATAGAAGGACTGTTGCCGGCATCCAGACAAGTGATGTTGGGACTCTGGGCTGAGGCCGCGCTGGCAGGGAGGCAGAGGTGAAGGTCGTCATTCAGGAGGTATTTCCATGTGGGACTGGCAGAGCCGAGGCACGGAATGGATGGCAGCTCCGTTCTTGGAGTTAGGAAGTACAGGAGGCGCGGGCGGGTAGACTGAGGCAGGAGACGAAGGCACACAAGAGGGGAGGGAATGAATGACATGTAGTCTTGGTTATTCTGTGAAGTTACTATTTTCTGGGTGGGGAGTCTGCTTACCCTGGAAGAGGAGAAGAGGGAGAAAGAGGCTGTCCAGCCCCGAACACACTTGTGGCTACGTTTTTTCTGATTTTCAGCTGCTTCTGAGTTTCCCCTAGCAACTGTTTGTTGCTAAGCAGTTTTTTTTTTTTTAAAGTGCTAGAAATCAACTAAGAATAAAAGGGGAATCTGAAAGGGCTTCATATATGTTTCTCACTGCACATGGTAAGAAGTGGGAATTGATGTCATTAGTGGGTTATGACAGTCGTTGGCCTTGGCCTAATGTTCTGTCGTGCAAGGGGCATGGCGATGCCACTCACTCTCCACAGGGGGCTGGTTGGTTGTCCCTGCCTGTAGGAGCCGTGGCCCAGAGCTGGTCTGCCCTGGTTCTGCGTGCTCAGCAGCTTTCACGTGCTCAGGATGGCCCGACAGGCCAAGTGCAGTATCGGGGCCATGGGAGGACAGTCCTGGGCTCACATCAAGGACGTGTTTGTAGGAGAGCTACCCACCTAAAGTGACTGAGTTCACCTGTCCTTGCTCTCTCTGGAGGGAAACCGATGCTGAGCCAGGGACTGCAGGGGAGTGGGGTGGGGGGTGAGATAAGCTAGGAAAGGCTGGGCCAAGTTCAAGTGGATGAGGGTAGTGGCCTTCTCCCCGTACAGCCACTTGGCAAGCTCGAATTGTTTGGGATGCCTTAAGAAGAGTTACCCATGACATTTCTGGGGGTTTTGATGAAGCCCCATTAAGTGGCTTTCAAAGCGGGAGTCCGATCCAGCTTCTGAATGTGTTTGACAAACTTTCCCAGTTGTGTTCTGTGAGCAAGGCTCTGCGAAGGCTCTCTCTTCGAAGAGGTCACTGAGCGCCCATGTTGTGTGACGTGACAGAGGAGCTCTCTCCCCAACCCAGAGGTGGGGACACTGAGACTGATGTAAACACACGAGGGGGTGGTGCCTTTTTTGTCCGAGGCCCTGGTAGAAACATCCTCTGTAACAGCCGCAGCAGGGGTCTTGGCCATCGCCGTTACTTGCTTGCAGCGGTAAAGGGTTTAGGATTGGTGTTGCCACTTCCCGCTGATGGCTTCTGTTTTCTTGTAGAGGGTTTTACTCTCTCGCCACTAAGGCTTCTGACTGAAGCATTTTGTGGCGAAGTATGTTTTTGTTAAACTCGTATGAATGTTGGTGACATCTTCATAAGGCACGTTTATTTATCAAGGGCGATGTGCTTTTGTTAGAAATACGCCGTGGCTTCCAGGCATCATCCATAGCTCCACTGGGGGAAATACAGAATTCTCATTCATTTTGCTTAATGGGTCACTTTTATGGTAAAAATGGAAAATGTCCTTATTAATGCCAGATTAATTTTTTTTTTATTTTTCACTGTCTTCAGTGAATTCCAACATAAAGCATATTAATTTTCTAGTGATCCAAGTTAGTCAAAGCTCCTTTTTGCCTAATTATTTATGAACGGCTTTTGTAGTCCTATAGATTTTCTTTCTTGAGGCACCTAGGATGCCTCAAACTATACCTCCCGAAAGTGAGTAATGTTACAGCCCAGGCCTCATTCACCCCTGGTTTTTCTCTTCCTCCCATTCTTCCACCTTGTTGTTTGACGAGACAGAGTCTTTCTCCTGGTGCTCACTGGGGACTGACAGCCCTTGTTTACAGTGTTGCCGTTCGGTAACATAGTTATATGTGTTTAGTATTGTTTACTAACACAAAGGTCTTTTTTTTGTTACTAAAACTTATGCTGGTGCCATGTTTTTGAGCTTTGGCAGTCCCAGGAAATACAGCAGCAGGCATGGAGAAGTAGGTCTTAATTTCAAAAATGAAATTATTTATCCTCTGACGTTTTTCAAGGGCTGTGAGAATTTCCAAAATATCAAAACCGCTCATGGAGTCAAAATATTAGCTCCCATGAGTGCATTCTGCTTTCTCCTGTTGGTGGTGGTTTGTTTGGTGTTCTGGTTCGAGTCAGGAGAAGACGCGGCGCCCTTCACGGTGGCTGTATTTGGTTTGCCCCTAGCGGGCCTGGGGTGTGGGAGCTGTGGCTCCAGTAGCTCCTTAGTTGTCGAGGCAAGATGTCCCCGGTGCTGAGCTAGCCCTGAAGCCTTGCGCTCTTCCCGCAGGCCCATTCATCAGCGTGGTCCTGTCAAAGCTGGAGAACATGCTGGAGAACTCTCTGCATGTTAATTTGCTGCTTATTGGGATCGTTACTCAACTGGCCAGCTACCCCCAGCCACTCCTGCGCTCCTTTCTGCTCAACACCAACATGGTCTTCCAGCCGAGCGTCCGTTCTCTCTATCAGGTACGTCAGCTGAGCCCGTGTCCTGACCTGTTGACGCTACGGGTGCTCGTGAGCCGGGCTTCTCCTCTCTTTTCCTTTGTCGTTGGGTTGTTTTTCTCACTCTCCCCCGTTCTGATTCATTCGCTCTCCTTCCCTGTCCTGTTAGGCTAGTTGTGAGACCAACTGCAAAGCTTCATTTAGTTTGATGTTTTGAGGGTGCCCTACCAAGGACACCCAGGCAGGTAAAAACAAGCAAATGCCTGATATCCTAAAAGTTCCTGTGGCGAGGGCTGCACCTGAAAGACACACTGATAACCGAGGCTGGAATTCCATCGTGGAGCGTTGACCTCATTAGTTTGTTGACAGGTCCTTGCATCGGTGAAAAACAAGATCGAGCAGTTTGCTTCTGTGGAGAGAGACTTCCCAGGGCTCCTCATACAAGCCCAGCAGTACCTGCTCTTCCGAGTGGACATGTCTGACCTGCCCCCTGAGTCGCTAACCAAAGGTAAGCCAGGGGGGTCTCCCCTGTGCCTCTTCTCCAGCTGTTCCTCCATTTCCCAGCCTCCTTCCTGATTGGGGTTCACAGAGGCCGTGCTGGCTCCTGGGCCTTCAAAGCATCCAAGTACATTTTCATGTTTACCCGACAGGGAGGAGCCTCCTCTGAGTGTTCTAACACCTCAAGGAAGGTCCCCTCTGCGTGCACCTGGCCTGTTCCCAGCCGGAGGGCTCAGTAGGGCGTCTGTTTTCCCACCTGACGGGGGGTCGGGGAAGGAGTGCTGCGTGCTCTTGCTCGGCTAGAATAAATAGCTTGGCACGTGTGGGCCAGCAAGAGGCATGATGGGCACACCCTGAACCATATGTTGGCCAGTCCTACCCTGAGGAGGGCATCTGTTCTCTCAGGCCCCAAATAAATATGCGTGAGGGCTCAAGAAGGTAAAAACTATTCATTTGGACCGGGAGAAGTAAAGTTTATGCTCAGCTTACAGTTGCTGAGAGCGCCTTTTCGTCAGCTCTAGAGGCTGGGGGGAGGGTGGTGGTCGGTGCTGAGGCCGGAGTGGTCCTGAAGGCTGGCCAGGCCCGGGGAGCACCTCCGCTTTGCCTCATTTAAGCTCAGGCTGGGCGGATCTGATGCCTGCTTGTCTTCTGAGCCCTGATTTAGGCCGAGGTGAGTGCAAACTAGAAATGCCCCATATTGTGCTGGCTTTTGCTTGTCTCCACACGGACAAGTCAGCCTTGTGGCAGGTGAACAGTGGGGAGCGTGGGGCTCTGGGTCCCAGGCTAAAGGCATGTGATCAGAAACAAGATTGAGCGTGAGAGGCAGAAATGTAACTCGGGGCAAGTTTCAGACCTATAAAGGAAGCTGAGAAGATCCCAGAACTCTGATGGCTTGACCTTGTCTCGGTGTAGCTGTTTGATCTTGGTCACTGGGCCTCACTGGGCCCTCCTGCTCCTTGACTTTTTAACTGAAGGATTTGTTCTCCATCTCAAGTCCTTTCTGGCTGTGAAGAGCCTTCAGGGCATTGCAAGGCAGATTTTGAAAGAAAGGTGGGCCTGTTCACTGGTAGATAAGGGGGTAGGCTTTAAGATTCTGCCCCCGGAAAAGAGCAGGGCCAGGCCAGGCCATCCATGGAGCGGGGAGGAGCCCGCACGTCTCTGTGGAAAAGTGGGCTGTGGGCCCCACGTGGCCTGTGGGCCCCACGTGGCCTGTCCTAGCTCATGGACGGCTGGTCTGTTGGCTATGTTGCTCCTGAACCCGGAGCTTGCTGCTCTCACTCACCCTGGGACAGTTAGCTTTCATGCGTAACAAACCAGTGCCACAACTCAGTGGCTTTTAAAGGACGCCATTTATGGGTGCTCATGAGTCTGTGCGCCTGGTGATCTGGGTGTTCTGATCGAGGGCAGGCTTGGCGGGTTTTGGCTGGACTTCTGTGTTGCCGTCGGTGGGCGGCTGGCTGTCTGGGATGGCCTCACTCACAGGGGTGGTAGCCGGCTGGGGTGATGGGCATGGTGGGGGTGGGGGGTCTGTATTTCTTATCACCTGGGAGGTTAGTCCTGGCTCGTCAGCATCGTGGCTGTAGGATTGCAAGAGTGGGAGTAGGGGTGTACAACATCTTTAGAGGCTCTGTCTCGGGACCCAAACAGGGCCAATTTTGCTACATTCTTTCGGCCAAAGCAGGTCATTGGGCAGCCCAGGTTCAAGAACCGAGTGAACCATCCACCTCTCGATGGGAAGAACTGTTAAGAATTATGGCCATTTTTGCAATCGGTAGACAGAAGGTGACTTGAGTCTTCTTATGTTACACTCCACGCTTGGTGTCCTTCATTTGTACTTTTCATTTTGTTAAGTGCTTCCCTAGACAGACAATTTTATTTTCAAATAGCACTGTGGGAATGGGCAAGGACGGTACTGTTGGCTTTATTTTCGGATAAGGCCGCTGAAATTAGAGGCCTGGAGTAGTCAGCCAGGGTCGCAAAGCTCAAGAGCCTGAGAGTGGCCTGCCCAGTGTGGCAGGCTGAGGGTGCAGACACTGACCGGCTTCCCAGGCTTTCCCTGACACACATGTTCTGGGTGAGGGGGCAGGGTAGGGAGGGCTGGGGATCACTCATACCTGGTGCTCTGTCCTGGCTTCTGTCTCATGACGGTGGCTGCCAGGTAAGTGCCCAGGGGAACTTGAACTCGTTCCCACCACATATGGTTATCAAATTAGTCAGCCAGGGTTGATGCTTTCTAAGGTCTGTGACATTCAGGGGGCTTCAGGGAAGAAGACTTTCCTCTAACGGCGTTGTTTGGATGAACCTTCCAACTTTTTTCAGATTCCCAAAGCGACCCCCTCCTCTCAACTTTAAAAATCCCTAAACTCACGGAATGAGGGAGGTTTCTGTCCCCTTGCACAAGGCTGACTACTGAAGCATCGAGTGTGATGTGACTGCCTATAAATGAGTTGAATCTGCGAGCGTGACTGAGAGCCCTGGTAATGGGCCAAACATTGGGGTTCACAGTGTCGGGGGTGCTGTGGGCTCTAGCACTGTGGACAGGGGGATGAGGGCTGAACGGATTTCTCCCCTAACATTGAAATCTGGCTAGTATTCGTCTTGAGAAACCTCCGTTGCCGCTTTTCAGACCCAGGGCAACATTTTAGGAAACCACTCCCGATGGTGACTTGTTGAGCCCGCTCATGATGGCTGGAACCCGGGCGCCTGCAGCCAGAGCTGCTCTGTCCCCCCGGGCCCTGCATTCCCTTGGGCTCCTGGCGGCCCCGCTGAAAAATGAGCCTCCTCACTGACACTTCAAACACAAGTATGGGTCCGTGGGTCCCCTGCTCCGGAGCGGGCAGACTTCCTGTGCTGGCTGTCGCATTGTCATCCTCCAGACTATTGATCTCTGGGCTCAGCCACTCACCCTCAAATACTTTCCAAACCACAGAGGTTGTATTTACTTGTATTTCATTATTTTCAGAGTCCTTTCAGATCTCTAGTTCTGGGAGGGAGGTCACCTCGGTGGTATTTCCGTTTTACAGAAAAGGAAATGGAGACATTGTGTGATCAGCTAGTTACCAGGTAGGAACCATAACTCGGGTCTCCTTGCTGCTGAGAGCTTGGTGGCACTCGGTGACCCACAGAGAGGCCATTCCCATGCTGATCGCACAGGCCCCTGTAAGGGTCTCCCTGCGAGTCCTCACAGCGCACGCTCCTGCCTTCAGTAGTGAAGACAGTTTTGATTCTTGGATTCAAGTGGGTAAATGAGCCTTAGTAATGATGCCTTTTTTTTTTTTTAAGTGGCGACACTTTTTTGAATTCATCATCAAACTAGATAAAAGCCACAAAAACCCTTTTTTGGGAGAAAAAGAGGAGTGAATGTGAAAGAGGAAGATGGAGATGAGGCATATGAACCAGCTCCAGGGAGATCAGGTGTAGGGAAGACCTCATGTTGGCCAGTTCCTTCCCTCATTCACTCAGTGAATGTTTCTTGGCTTCTGCCATGAATAAGGAAGTGTGCTGGGGGCCGTGAAGGACACGTCGCCTACCGGCTCCGCTCGCAGAAATCTGAGTCTGGTAGAGGACTGAAAACATAAGAACACAAGGCTGAAGTGCAGTGCAGGCCTTAGTTGGTTAATAAAATGGGGCAGGAGGCGAGCGCAGGGAATGGCATGTGGGGCAGGAAACAGGAACTCTGTGAGATCAGTGGCAGCTGAATTGCTGATGATGTGATGGATGACCCATTGAGAGGCCCCTGTGTACGTTACACCTATTGACTCACTGTGGTTTTTTTTTTTTACCTCTTTTTTGTTCGTTTATTGAGGCATAATTAACATACAGCGTTCTGTTAGTTTTAGGTGTACAACATTGATTCAACAATTCTGTGCATTACTCAGTGCTCACCATGGGAAGTGTAGTCACCATCTGTCACCACACATTGTTAGTGTTATTAACTATACTCCCCATGCTTTACTTTCATCTCTGTGACTTATTTATTTTATAACTGGAAGTTTGTACCTCTTAATCCCCCTTCATCTATTTCCCCCAGCCCCCCACCATCTCTCCTCGGGCAACTACCAGTTTGTTCTCTGTGTTTGAGAGTCTGTTTTGTCTGTTTTTCTTTGTTCATTCATTTTGTTTCTTAAATTCCACATATAAGTGAAATCATATGGCATTTGGCTTTTTCTGTCTGACTTATTTCACTTAGTATAATACCCTCAAGGTTCATCCATGTTGTTGCAAATGGCAAGAACTCATTCTTTTTTATGGCTAATATTCTGTTACATGTACACACACACGCGCACACACACACACCACCTTTATTTTTAAAATTTTTTTTATTTTTAAAATAAGATTTTATTATTTTGTCAGAGCACGCGCACGAGCAGGGGGAGCGGCAGGCAGAGGGAGAAGCAGGCTCCCCGCTGAACAGGGAGCCCCATGTGGGGCTCGATCCCAGGACCCTGGGGGTCAATGACCTGAGCCGAAGGCAGACGCCTAACCGACTGAGCCACCCAGGCGCCCCTCACACGGTACACCTTCATTCATTCATCCATCAGTGGACATTTAGGTTGACTTCTGTTATCTTTGCTATTGTAACTAATGCGGCAGTGAACATAGGGGTGCACATATCTTTTCAAATTAGTGTTTTTGCTTTCTTTGAATAAAAACCCAAAAGTGGAATTATGGATCATATGATAATATTTTTTACATTTTTTAATTTTTTGAGTAATGCCCATACTGTTGGGGGTCATGACCTGAGCCGAAGGCAGACGCCTAACCGACTGAGCCACCCAGGCGCCCCTCACACTACACCTTCATTCATTCATCCATCAGTGGACATTTAGGTTGACTTCTGTTATCTTTGCTATTGTAACTTAATGCGGCAGTGAACATAGGGGTGCACATATCTTTTCAAATTAGTGTTTTTGCTTTCTTTGAATAAAAACCCAAAAGTGGAATTATGGATCATATGATAATATTTTTTACATTTTTTAATTTTTTGAGTAATGCCCATACTGTTTTCCACAGTGGCCGCACCAGTTTGCATTCCCACCAACAGTGCACGAGGGTTCCTTTTTCTCCACATCCTCGCCAACACTTGTTACTTCTTGTCTTTTTGATTCTAGCCATTCTGACAAGTGTAAAGTGGTATTTCATCGTGGTCTCGTTATTTCAGGTCTTCTGCCGACATTTAATTAGGTTATTTGTGTTTTGGGTGTTGAGTTGCTTATTGACTCCTTTAATCCTTAAAGCAACTCTGTGTGCTTTTGACACACGAGGACATCAAAGTACAGAGAGGTCAAGCAACCTCCCTGATGTCGCTCAGCCGGTAAGTGGCAGAGTCTGTGCTCTTCTTAACCACTGCTAATAAGATGTAGAGGTGAGGAGATATGGGGAAGGGAATTCCAGGAACAGAGTCTTGGCCTGGAATTACTGCTCACGAATCCCACTGCTCATTGTTCTCCAGGCCAGCTTCCTTCGAGAGCTTTGCTCTGGGCCCTTTGAAGAGCTGCAGTACTGGGGGACTGGCGTGGGGGTGCCAACGGGGTGGTCTCCAGGGTGGGCAGCATATGTCCGTGATGTCAACACTTTCGTCCTCTGTTGTCAGGACGTGTTGTGGGTTTCTGCTAAAAGGTAGCAGCAGACCAATTCTCAGCAACTCTTCCAGTTCTTTATGGCACGAACTGTGATAAACTTTAATCGAAAAGATATTTAAAGCAGTAAAGCAGAGGATTTTTTTTTTTTAACACTAAAGACTATAGGAGTGAGATGTGGAAAGTACTATAAATGTCAAGAATTTTTAGTACTGTAGTTAAGCAACACTCTTCTCAGAGTGTTGAAAAATGGGACTGAATTCTAAAAAGCAGCCAAAATAATGAAGAACTTGAATGTAATGATTTATAAAGAGCAGTGAGACTGTTTGAGTAGGGGCAGAAGGAGACCTAAATAATTCCTATAAATATATGCGGGCTGAAGATATTTAAGAATTAAGTAGTTGGGAAAGTTGAACCATTTTAAATAGTAAAACTGATTTGATATGGAAATGCAAGTCATTTGAATATGTTCAAGTTTGGGCTCATCTCATCTCAGACCTGGGTTATTGGAACTGAGATGGAAACCCCTGGAACTTTTCTTAAAGGGTGGCTTCCAAGCCACTCTGCCACTAGATGCCCACAGTTATGGGAAGTTCCTGGTCTGGTTGCTCTTACCAGCACCCAACTTCCTCTCCATTATTTCCAGCCTTTTAAAAGGCTTTTTCCATGCTTCCAGAGGGCCCGGCCGCAAGAAGCCGGGAGTCCTGAGGTAGCCCTTGAGGCTGGAGCTGCAGAGAGCTCGGAATGGCTTTTTTAGCCCAGCTTGTCTCCGGCAGCTCTGCTATGTGATCAGGACTTGATTGGTAAAGGTAGGATGGTCTCCCCAATACCAGGAGGTTGGGGAGAGCATGTGGAGCCTCTGGACTCCCCTAAATACCGTGTACTGAGCTAAGTCTTCCCCTGGTTGATGCGGTGGCATCATTCTTTCCCTTCGCCATGTCCCGGGCATGGAGGGTCCCTGAGCAACCTATTTTCTTGCCACCGTTTCTGCACAAAGTTCCTTGCACAGGGTTCGGGATAAAACTCTTCTATCACATGCCCTGTGCTGGACGTTATCTGCGGGGCCAATACGTGTGCCACAGAGTGAATAGGGTGTGTGTTCAAGGGCTGTGTCTTGAGACTTCAGTGATAGGGACTGAAGTCACGACTAGACAGTCCACCAGCTCCCCCCCCCCCCCCCCCATGTAAGAGGGCGGGCATAAAGGACCAGGGAGTGTCACCGTGACTGTTTTCTTTCTGGTTTCAGATCCCATTCAGGATGCTTCCAGGACAGGAATCGGCAAGAACCTTTTGGATGGTCCCCCAAGAGTGCTTCAGCCCTTCCTGACAAATAGAGCCAAGGTGGCTGGGGTGCCCCCAAGCCTGCCCCTGCCAGTGAGGAACACCATGCTGGCCGCTGCCCTCTTCCCCGAGTTCCTGAAGGAACTGGCTGCCTTGGCCCAGGAACACTCCATTCTGTGCTACAAGATCCTGGGTGACCTTGAGGACTCCTGTTGTTAGCTTTTTTTTTTTTTAAATAGAGGTTCTTGTTTTTTAAGGTTTTAGTATCTTGACTGAATGTTAAATGCAAAGCTGCTTACAAAAATTTCTACTTTGATATTTCCTGACAATACTTGATTTGTGGGGAGGGCAATTTTCTGTATATCTCCCCTCTCTAGACGGGTCTTTCCACCTTATATAGAATATAAGTCTCATAAGCTGGTGGCTCCTTTGGCAGGTTTTCTTTCTTCCTCCTCAAGTTTTCCAATTGTTATTCTCCCATCCCTCTGAGTCACTCATCTTGCAGCTGAGATCCCACAAAGCAAATAATGGGGTTTGGTGGTTTCTGGAAGTACCCCATGTCAGAAGGCTAAGCTGTTCCACATAGCATGTGAAGAATGCACATCTGCTCCGTTGCCTTCTGCATCCTGGCTCCATTTTATAAAAGGGAAGAATAAAGATGGAGCCCCTCTTGCCTCCATCACACAAGCACATATCTTCTGTCCCTTTGCATTTTACTTCCAAGGTTTGCACTCTGCCCAACACGTTTGCCTTATGGTGCAGGCAAAACCTGCACCATATTGGTCTCAGCTCTTTGCCTGGGAAGTCAGATGTAGTTGAGGAGAATCTGGAATGCAGGGAAATTTTCTTGTTGCTTGAGAGCTTTCTTTAATCAGTATATCACTACTTAAACACTGGAAATAGCCTTATTTTAGTAAGATTTGCACAAAATGAAATGTACTTATGCAAACTATTACATTGGTTTTTAGAAGTTTGATCTGATGAAGAAAGCAGGGTTATCATATACTTATGTATCATTATTTTTTAAGTGTTTTATGAAAGGCAAACAGATTAATTTGTGAAGCTATTTCACAGTGGTTTTTTTTTGGGGGGGAAGGGGGGTGTACAGAGCGGGGGAAAAGGATAAGGGTAAACTAAATGCAGCCTGTAAAAATATTGGCGAGTATTTTAGATTCTGTTTGCGTTCTCTCCTGTGTTGCACTTTGCAGAGAAACAGGAACTGTAAAGCCTCTTTGGGACCTGGGATGTTAGTGCAAACAGGTCACGGGGAGCCCTGCAAAGCCAAGTGCCTGCCGGTGACTCACTGCACACAGAAATGCTGCCTTCTGAGTAATGGGGTTCATTAGAAGGCCCCAGCATGATGTATTAGTGCCTCTGTCCTGCTTTGCCGTCTGCTCCAAGAGGTGTAATTATACTTAGCGCCGGTCTCCTTAAGCCACCAAGAGGGGGAAACACACAAAATAATTGCGCGTTATTTAAAAATGAGACCATGAACAGCTGATGTTTGTGGATATTCGACCCCCTCTATTTTGGGCAGGTGAGAAGCACATAACAAGGGTGGGCCTCCCTGTTTAGAGGGAAATTGGAAGTCCCAGCTCTCCTTGTTTTCTTTGTGGACAGGGCTGCTGAGTCCTGGGGGCGGCCCTCGGTGTGACGCTCGGAGTACAGGTCTGGGTTTAATCAGGTCCCTTGTAGAGGAGGGTAGCGGGGGACAGAATCACATCTGAGACCCTGCAGAGTCGAGGCTGCTGCCCTTTTGCCCTGCACGGATCTTGGAGCAGCTTTGTATTGAGAGAGAGCCAGCCCATGGAACGAGGCCCCTGGAAGACCTGGTCTGGGCTAGGAGGCTCTCAGCAGCCAGCCTGTGTTTCCCAGTCCAAGCAAGAAACCAAAGATACCGACCTCTTGTCCGCTTCTGGCTTCACATCCGTCTGTCTTGAAAAATGGTTTGCCCCGCTGTGCTATGGCAGCGGGGAATGTATGAGGCCCTGCGGACAGGCCTGCTTGTGGCTTCCTGGCTCTCGCTTGTATTGGCAAACCCCCAGGTCTCCCCTGGAAAAGAAGGTGGTTTAAGACAGAGAAAAAGGAACAGGAAGGTGGAATTTAAGCTGTATTTTCCTCTAGCTTTGTTTTGCACAAGTATTTATCTTCCAGTTTGGACTTACCAGGTACGTGAAAGGCGAAAGTCTTATCTGGGAAGTGTATTCCTTAGCTTTTTGATGTGATGTACACTTCTCTCCATTATCTGGTGTTGGTGTTGATTCTTCTTCCGTCCATATTGCTTTATTACATACAGAACACCACAGTCCCCTGTGTAGAAGGTGCCCTTTTAGGAAAGAAATTGCTTTTGTGCCTCCTAGCATTTTTTAAAATAGGTACTGAACTAGACTTACCTTAAAGGAGGACAGAGATGACCAGTATCTGGGGTGGGAGGCGGGAAAATTAACTCCCAGGGTGGGGTGCTGGTAGCAAACTCACACGATAACCCTATTTGGAACTGGGAACTGGTTCATCTTTCTGAATCCGGTATAGGCCTCCTCCAGAGTATTGTGTTCAGGGGTTTTCAAAATGAAGTCAGAAATTTGACCTGGAAATACATTATGGAGAACTGGAAAACCCCACAGGGTTGAGGGAAACAGCTGGGTAGCTTAGGTGGAGGACATAAGAGGAGAAACCGCAGAGTCCTGAGGCTATAAATAGGAGAAGGGCAAATCCTGAGGGGTTCAGAGGAATGAACTTTGATCTAGGCAGATATGAAGATACTATACAGCAGGTGGGTGATGATGGAAATTCCTTGGTGGGAAAAAATCATGGTAATGAAATAGAATAATCAAAGTAATAGGTGAGGCTCTTAGAAATTTTTTTGTCATGTTTGGGAAAAATTTGTCAAGATACTGGCATGCTTTGAAATGTGGCCCCTGCAGTATGGTCACTTTTCCACGTGACAGGCTCCCACTCAGACGCTGTGCTCCTTGCTGGAAGACACAGTGGGCGCAGACCCTTTTGCCGAAGCCCCGAGAATGGCGTCGCTGTGTCTAGCCTGATGGTCCTGGGCAGTGAAAGCAACTGGAGGGTTCCTAGAACCTCACACATAAATTTCAATTCATAATGCTGGGTCTGAGGTAAAGTTCTAGATGGAGTGAATTTTATGATTCAAAGTGTATGTGAGCAATGGGATATTTAAAACTGATTTTTAGAAATGACCAAGGAAGTGTTTTTTAAAATTTCAATCAAAGAAATTCCAGGTGAGTTTAGCCTAAAATACAGTTTCTTGGGGGTACATTACAATTTCCCAGCCATGAAACGGGGATGCTGGAGTAACCAGTTAAAGAGATGTGATTTTCATTATCAGTACTTCCTTTCCTTGGTATTTAGAGGAATCATGAAATTGTTGCCCTTTTTCCTAGTACCGTCTTGAAAAATACTTTGATGTATTGGTGGGTTGGAACTGAGGTCTCTGTCATGGGTAGGGGGGATGCATTCAGGTCTTTTATGGGTCCTCAGGAGTACCTTTGTGGCTTAGTGGCTTTGATTTAGATCAGATGTAGTTGCTGATTTCCAGTCCACTGAGACATCATGGAGCCCTGGTGGTGTTGGGAGAGCATCCTCTTAGGAACAGAATCCAGAAACAGGATACGAGAATATCTGGGTTGCCTGAATGTTCAATTTGGGCAGCCAGTGGTACTCAGGGTGGAAAGATGTTTTGATGTCTCTGAATGGGCTTGGTTGCCGTGATCGTGTTGGGTTGCCGCCCAGCTCTGTTCCGAGCTTCGGGGTTGTGGAAGGGCTGCACATTTTCAATCCGGATCCGTGCGCCCGAGTCGCTTTCATGAGGAGAGTGCTGCCCGGCCGGGGTGGGCCGTGTCGCGGGCGGGCTGGGCAATGTGTGCAGCATGAACTCCAGTTCTCATTTAAGGGCAGTTCAGTTTAATTGCGAATGACCAGTCCTGTATTTACTGAAATGGCTATCAAGCTTGCCATTTTTATGAAAGACGTTATTGCAGGACAGCTATTACTGCACGTGCGACTTCCAAGTCCCCGGCCCGGGCTGGTGTAAATTTGTGGCTTGCCGTGAATCGCAGCCAGCTCTGCAGTGTTGGCTTTTCCTGGAAGCAGTGGTCCTCTGGTGGCTGGGGCCACACCAGCTCTAAGTCATTAAGCAGATATTCTCAGGCCCCTTCTTGCTTCAGCCATCATTCTATAAATCACACAGCACTCCTTCTCCATCAGATCACAGCTTAACACAGAACACTGTCGAACCGGTTTATACTCCAACCTTAAATCACATCATCGAGGAAGCATTTTAAGAAAATGGAGTTGATTTTTTTTCCCCCCTCTCTTTAAATGACCATCATAAACTTAATGCTTTAGAAAGAGCTCTTTGGAAGACTAAGAATTGTTTTCGGGATAATTTTGCCTCAGTAAATCCTCTCTACGTTCAGGTATTTATTGGGCCATTACTTGTTTTGGAGGACAGATTCTCCGGCCGCTCATTAACTGGATAAACAGGGCGTTAGTGAAAGATTTTTGGTGAGGTTCCACAGGGACGAGGACAGGGACACGATGGGGGAAGCCTTTAGTTCCTTGGTGTCTGCACTTAGGATCCTAAGACAGATGAGGATTTTAGCTAGGACTGACCCTTCCCATCCCATTGGGTCATTGTGAATTTTGTTTCTGTCTTACGACGTGTGAGTCAACCTCACTGTCAGCCACACAAGTTACAAGACCCCCAGTAGGCATGGTTGGTATGCGCTTGATGTGTAGTTCAGGCATCTTTTGAGGAGCTGAGATTTACTGTGTCATTTCAGAACCTGACAAAGGCGATGGAAACTCTTGGGCCAGATTATAAATTTCATGGAGCTGAGGCTGCAGAAGTCTGTGCTTCTGAGTGTGTCTGCTGACTTTTTATTGGGACAAGTCTGCAAAAGACCTGTAACAAGGCCCCTTTTTGCCTGGAGATATTTTTAAGAGGGAATTTGGTGTTGATCTTACTTAAATGATTTTTGTTTAATTGTTCGACTAAGGGAGGCAGTGAGAGAGGATTTCAATCAGATTCTATCCATCTCTCACTTTAGGTCCAGCCGTGTTCACAAATAATCCATGAATACATTTGTCTAAGATGTGCCAGAGAAGCATGGCAGCCGTTTCCATGCTGCTGTTGGTACTGGGTAAATAACATGGCCTTTGAGATAGACTGTGTGTTTTTTCCCCCAGTAGTCACTATGTAGACTCCTTGAAGTGATGCAGCACATTCAATAGAAATGAAAAAGACGATATGAACTGTGGGTCAGTTCCATAAGCTGTGTATTGAATTAACTCAAAGCTCTAGAAGGGTGTGTACTTTCAAAAATTCCATAGCCTTCTTCCAGATAAGCAGTAATTACAAAAGTGTATGTGTGTAAGCTCGGCTAAAACATGCTAAACTTGGTATAAATTACAATTAGCTTCCTTTTCTTGGGGCACATACACTTTGAAAGATAGGAACAGAAGTTCACCTTGATGCATAGGCCTGGACAGAGTCAAGAAGCTCCTTCCTAGACCCAGATGTCCAGAATTTAAAAGCCTACTAGTTGGCAGCACCAACCTCCCATACCAAAAGGCCCCACAAAAAGCTGTCTGCTAATTTTGTTTTATCAATTTAATCAACCTTCACTAAAGTTATTCTGTGCCAGGTAGTGTGCCTAGTGTTGAGGCTTACATTCCTAACCTCCCACCAGAACCAACCAACCGACCTCCTTTTCAACTAACAGAACCCATGGTTTGGGCATGACCAGGTAGAGCTGGTTCATGCTGACCTGGAGAAGAGCCAGTTTTCCAGCACAGTCCCTTCCCAGCCTGTAGGTGTGGATTCCAATGACAGATGGCAATGGCTTTACTGAGGACACCAACTCTTACATTTTAATGAGATTTTCACTGGAACAGCAAACAAAGAACCAGACTGAATTCTCACTCATGCAAAGACGTATTTCAAACTGTATTTGACTGAGGCCTGTTTATGAGCAGAGCCATACTTTGTGAACTTCGGACACCATTATGCAAACATATCTTTTGAATATATAGTCAGGTTCCAAGGAAGGTATCTGAGGTGCGCCTTTCCTATTAGCAGTTATAACAATGTAACTGTCCAGTTTTCAGGATTTCAAGAGTGGGCATTCAAGACCATGGGGAAGTTGTCAGAGGTCAACACCCATCACTTAAAGGTCAGGTGTTCTCATGATGGCATTTTTCTCTGGAAATGATCAGTCCATAATACAGTTCACACTGGACATAATAGTTTTGGGAAACTGTCTCCATCCAGCTGCCTCCTCACCCTGCCCCCCTATCACCCATTTAAGCAAGGCCTTGATTTGAAATGGTGTGGAAAGATCCCCTAGTGGCTTCTGTAAAGTTTGATGTCCCAGAAGCCAGACCTTTGGTGAAAATGGGAGTTTGTAAAACAAAACTGAACCCTATTATTTCTTACAAAACAACGATCCTGCTGGAATCCAGTCTCAGACTGTCTTTGCCCATTTGTAATTCAGTCTTGCAATGCGAGGAGAGAGAATGGACTCTGCCTTTCTCTCTCGAAAAGAAAAAATATCTTACTTCTGGGTTCAGTAGTTTCCAGTACTGGAGCAGAATGCGTGAGGGCCACATGGCCTCCTGGGTGAGGGAACACCTTCTCTCACAATATTCTAAGTCATTCTTTTTAAAGTTTTTTTTTTTTTTTTTTTTTTAAAACCTTACCTCCTCATGCTTGTCTGGAATAAACCACACACCTGGTTTCCTTTCTGTCCCTGCTTTCCAGGCAGGGTCCGAGGGAGGCTTCCGTCACACTCTGAGGGAGGGAAGTCCTGAGCACCGTTCACTGCTACACTGGCGACGGGGAAGGCCGGCTTGTCCCCAGTCCCCCGGCTGCCACGGCAGCATCGTCTGTGAGGGAAATGCTCGGACGCTCCTTAGTAGGCTTGGCAATTCAGCGTAAAATCTGAGACTGCGGAGAGTCTGTTCTCCCGATGCCACAGTTTGACATGCGCTCTTCAGAAGCAGCCTTGAAACCGGTCGTTAAGCATGGCGAGTCGGAGGGAACAGCAGCACGCGGTGCACGCTGGGTGCGGGAGAGAGCAACGGCATTCCCGTCCCGAGCGCGGGGGCCAAGGCAGCCCAGCCTTCACGAGGGTGTTGTTAACTGCACCACAATTACTGTTAAAGGTCAAGATTCTGATGTTTTAGCTTATCATCTTATTCTTCCCAGGCAAAACAAATCAATTTAATGTTACAGCTTGTTTATCTTTCTTTGGCCTGGGGGTGGGGGTGGGGGTGGGGGTGGGGAGCGAGTTGTTAACTGCACAGTCTTTGAAGTCTAAGTTAATTTTTTATGTGATATTTCACTATATATTTTATTCATTAAATTTATTTGAAAACGTGTGTGTGTGTTTAACAAAAAATGTTTCATTTAATTCTCAGACCGTTACCTTCCTGGATTCCTAGGGAGCTGAACGGGCAAAGTCACTTTTAGTCCTCAGATGAGGGAATGCTAGTAAGACTAACACCCTCCTTCCCATCTGCACGAGGCCTCCTGTTTACAACGTGTCTATTCTGTGGTGGTTTTTATCTCCACTCATCTACTTTCAGGTTTAAAGTACTGCATCCCAACGAACGAAAAGTTTTCTCAGAACGGTGACAGCATTTGAAACAGGGTCTCACTTAGTCCCGAATCACTGAGCACTGGAACTGTGCTATTTCTTCCCCACCACTGCAGCTGGAACCATCTCGAAGTCAGTGAGGCAGCCGGGCTGGTCTGTGCAGGTGGCATCCTGGGGCTGTAGCTGGGGCCAGGGCCTGGGAGCCCCCGGATGGCACGCGTCACGGGCTCCGGTTCTCAGTGGAGGCCGCTCTGCTCTCCCTCGGGCACGGGGGACCCAGAAGGGCTCATGACAACAGCTTCCTCTCCAGGATCTCCTTTATCACAGTCGGGTCTGCTCGGCTGAGAGTTGCTTTTCGGACCAACCCGATCAGTTTGTTTATAGCTCTGGGGTTTCCCCTCTTCATGTCCATTACCTTTAAAGATAGAAACTGTTTTTAGAGGAGAAAACAATGACACGTGTACTTAAAAATGCTAAGTTAAGGTTTATGTTTACTGACACTTAAATTCAGTTTCTTTTCTGTTAGCATTTGATACAAAATGAGAAAAGGAAGGAGGGGGTGAACTTCTGAGGAGGTCTCTGGGCTCCTGGATGCTGGCCACTCTGCCTTTTGAGGCAAGTGGACAAGGAGAGGGCTGTGACGCATTGTGAGTCCTGCCTACGGCGAGAGCTGGTGCACGGGACGAGGGCGCTCGCCTGGGCGCCGCAGCGACACGAGCACGCGGAGCTTCTCGGGCTCGGGGGTGAGTAACCCAAGATGAAGGATCTAGTCTAGTCAGAGTGAGGTCCTTCTCTAATCTTCCAGTGGTGGTCAGCAGGCACTGAAATGCATGGCTTTCCCTCTCCCCTCAACTCCCTGCCAAGAAGACGTGTTTATCAGAAATCAAATCCACAAAATGGCAACTCTCTGGGAGCATTTGGGTTGGGGAGTGCGCTGTGGTGGGCAAGATGGGGACAACAAAAGCAGGAGCCTCTAGATTCCTGTCAAATAGCCACGGACTGTCAGGGCCACCCACCCCGACCTCCTGCTCTGCAGCATCTTGATGGGTAATGACATCTGTGGGTATCTGCACTCGGTGCTGCAGAACGAGTCCAAAATGGAAAGTGTGTCTTTATCAGTCACTACAGATGAAGCAGGGAGATGGAGATTGCCGAGACCCAGCGCAAGCTCATTTTCCTTATCGAGAGCTCTTTTCAGAGCTGTTAGTGTCTCCGGCAAGCCGATGGGTGGATGGGGATTATTCTGAAAGAGATGCTAGCAATTTTTTACCCACTAAAAAATCTCTAGACGGTATGATTGGACTTGGGGAGGGAGGGATGGTACTCATTTTAGCTTTTCTATTTTGTTCTATGCTCAGAACACAAAATGACTTGGTTTTCAGCTATGCTCCTGTCAAGGATTTTCTCCATAATTTACAAATAATTTCCCTTTCTGCCTTTCTTCCCGCCTCTTAAAGGCAGGGAGCTAAAGTGTCTGCGTATCTTTCTTCCCTTTCTGCAGTCATGCCTGCTGGTTTATTAGTGAGAGGTCTCCTTATAAAGCAGAGCTAGCGGTAACAGATTCAAAGTGCATCATGCTGGGAGGTCACAACTTGGATCTAGTGAGCTTGATCAACACCCCTGAAAACCCAACTCCATGAGATTAAACCCCAGGGGTGGATATTCCTTGTAGGAAAAGCTGTATTCTTCTAATATTCACCTAATTTCAGCTCTTGACCTTAGCTAAAAGCGGACACAATTTATTAGGGACTTCCTTATTAGAAGGTGCCTCTGGGCTGCGAGGGGAAGCAGTGGAGAGGCTCTTGGCTGAGTCCTCAGGCCGGCGCCAGCCCTGTGCTGGCCAGGAGGGTGGACCCTTGCCCCGGCTGCACATGAAGCCCCTCTTCTCCCTGCAGGTGATAATTACCACTTGAGGATGCCCCTCCATCACGGTGTGGCAGACCCGTTCCAGCGCCTCTTGATCCTGCATCAGTTCAAGCTTCTTTTCTGAAACAATCTGCGATGGAGTCTTCCCTTTACTCCGCCACAATTCCTCAAACACCTCAGGCCAGGGGAGGGGGGGAGAGAGACGGAGAAGTGAATACTTGCTCCGCTTGCCCGGGCCAGGACAAGTAGAGCTGGGGCGGGGGACAGCAGATCCGGTGAGGTCCCAGCTGTGTGGCTCTAGCCCATGGGGTGCCCGTCTCCTGAAGCACCTGGGATGAAGCCGCCCTAGAGGGTGTGCAGACACACCGGGCACCTTCCTGCTCGCTGACTCAAACCCCACGGCAGAGGGGCTGGCAGAGGTGCCAGATGACGACAACTCACAGCCCCTGCTGCCACGAGCCGGACAGCCAGGGGCAGCTCTGTCTCCTGTCCACCGAATAAATTAATTGAGGTGCTCCTCTGCTGAAGGAGCGGGTGGCACAGGCCGAGCGCGGTAGCCGCTGCCCTGCCATTGACGTCCAAACACAGTCCACCTGCTGGGAATCAGGACGTTCAGGGGGCAAGAAAGTGGCCCCATAATGAAGCTACAAAATGGAAAATAACTAAAAACATACATAATCCACAGGGGCCTCTGCCATGCCACGTTTATTCCCTACTGGTGGAGCTAGGCCCAAATCTGGCTGGAATAATTAAGTTAATGGTGTATTTTTCTACTTAAAAAAAAAAATAGCAATAACAAATTCCCAAACTTACCAAAGTAGGGGGAAAAGGAATACATTTTTAAAGAAGGCATTTCCTAGGGTAGTTTTCCTCATTCCTCTTGTTTTTCTAGTGTAAGCTGGAAGGGTAGGGGGGTGTTGGGTTCCTCCGTTAGTCTCCTGCGGCGCCTCCTTCATCTCTGCCTGCAGTCAGTACCGAGCACTGAATGTTCCTTGTGAACATTCTGGCTGAAAACAGGCCAGCCAGGAGCCATTCCTCCCAGAAAAACAGAGCTTGTCAAAAATTAGCACATACAGCAAAACAAAGGAAGGGGAAGATGCCTGGAATCTCAGTAGAGCTCGAAGTTTTCCCCAGTCTGGACAGAAACAAACCACAGATATTTATCATGGCTGCAACAGTCAGTGCCCCTTCAGCTCAGCTGTCCGAATACCCACAGTGACTGTGGCCAAGAGAGGTCTTTGGTGGGCCCTCCCAGGAGTCTCCTGCAGGGCACCCATCTGGCTACACTGCACAGCCCTGGCTGCTTATGGAAAACCTGTCGTTGCTCTTAGAAAAATACTGAATATATATGCCTCCAGTCAATTTTGCAACTATTTATTCAGCCAGAAAAGAGGTAAGGCACTGAGGGAGAGGGCCACAAAAGCAGATAAGAACTTTCCCTGCCTTCAACAAACTTATTAATGGAGTGTCAGCAGCATAGGAAATAGAGAACAGAACAATCTGTAATGCAGATTATACTCGGAGAGCTGCCAAAAGCAAGTCTGAAGAGTTTCTTTGACCTCTTTCCCTGGTATGTTTTTCTTAAATTGACTTAAAACTGTTAAAACACTGTTTCTAATTCTTATGAGTAAATACATGTTAGGGGGACATGATCACAATGGCAGAGTAAGAAGATCCTAAACTTGTCTCCCCCATGGACACACCAAAACTACATCTACGTGTAGAACCACCCTTGCTGACGACCACCTGAAGATTGGCAGAACAGCTCTTCCACAACTGAAGATCTAAAGAAAAAGCCACACTGAGATGGGTAGGAGAGGCAGAAATGTGGTCTAGTCAGGACCCACATGCCTGGTGTGGCACTCCACAAACGGGGCAGATACCACAAATGCCGAGGTCCTCCCTAAGGTTCAGGCCCCACATGGGGCACCCCTGCCCTGCAGACCTGCACTGGGAAGATGAGCCCCATCCCCATAATCTACTTTTAAAAATCAGCGGGGAGAGCAGGAGGGCTATAGGAAACAGAGATTCTGCTCTTCAAGGGCAGGCACACAAACTCACTCTGACATCCAGCTCAGAGGTGGCAGTTTGAAAAGTGCTTGGGCCATACACAAAGATTTATTGACTAATCTTAGGGTATGTGCCAGAGGTATGTGGATCTGTGGGAACTTTCTTGGCCAAAGGAAGCACTGGTGGGTGCCATTTCTGACACTCTCCATCTACCTTGCTAGCACTGCTCAATCCACCCAGATGTTCCCCTGCAGACCTACCCTGCCTGTCCTGGCAGGCACCCCTCCAAGCAGTTCCTGTGCACATCTGGGGCCTAGCAGGGACCAGTACTCCCCCAAAGTGGCTCCTGAACTGCTGCGGTGGGTGGACCTGGCTGGCCCCCACCAGCATGCCTGCAGCACTAATGGCCAAGCACAACAAAACAGCGCATGCAATCCACAGCGGGAACACCCCTGGAGCACTTGGTTCTAATGACCAGGAGAGGCTGTGTTTCTGGGCCCCACAGGACACCTACATAAGGTCACTCCTTCAAGACTGGGAAATGTAGCTGATCTGCTTAATACATAGAAACAAATACAGACAGGCAAAATGAAGAGACAGATGGATATGTTCCAAACAAAAGAATAAGACAAAACCTCAAAAAAAACAAAAAAACAAAAAAAACTTAACAAAATGGAGATATGCAATCTACCTGATAAGGAGTTCAAAATAACAGTCATAAAGATGCTTGCCAAACTTGGGAGAAGAGTGGATGAACACAGAACTACAACAAAGGAAAATATGAAAAAGAACCAATCAGAGCTGAAGAATACAGTAACTGAAATAAAAAATACAGGAGAAGGAATCAGCAGCAAATTAGAGGACGCAGAAGAACTAAGAATGGATCGTCATCTGGAAGATGGTAGTGGAAATCACCCAAGATGAATAGCAAAAAGAAAAAGATAAAGAGAATCTTAAAAGCAGCAAAAGGAAAGCAACTAGTTATGTACAAGGGAAACCCTGTAAGACTATTAGCTGATTTTTCCACAGAAATCTTGCAGGCCAGAAGAGAATGGCATGATATATTCAAAGTGCTGAAAGGAAAAAACCTACAACCATGAATACTACCTGGGTTATCATTTAGAATTGAAGGACACAGAGTTTCCCAGAAAGAAAAGCTAAAGGAATTCCTCACCACTAAACCAGCCTTACAAGAAATGTGACAGGGCCTTTTTTTTTTTTTTTTAAAGATTTTATTTATTTATTTGACAGAGAGAAAGAGCACAAGCAGAGGGAGAGGGAGAAGCAGGCTCTCCACTGAGCAGGGAGCCCGATATGGGGCTCGATCCCAGGACCCTGGGATCAAGACCTGAGCCGAAGGCAGATGCTTAACGACTGAGCCACCCAGGTGCCCTATAGGGACTTTTGTAAGAAAGAAAAGGCCACAACCAGAAGTAAGAAAATTATGAAAGAAAAATATCTCTGATAAAAGCAAATATACAGTAAAGGTAGTATGAAGGTTAAAAGACAGAAATAGTAAAATCAACTATATCTACAAAAATTAGTTAAGGAATACACAAAAAGATTTAAAATATGACATCAAAAACATAATGGGAAGGGGAGGAAAAATGTAGTGCTTTTAGAATCTGTTTGAACTTAAGCGACCATCAACTTAAAATAGGCTGCCATATACATAGGGTATTATATTAAGAACCTCATAGTAACCATAAACCAAAGACCTATAATAGACACATGCAAAATAAAGAAAAAGAAATCCAAACATAACACTAAGAGTCATCAAACCACAAGAGAGCAAGAGAAGAAAGGAACAGAGAACTACAAAAACAACCAGAAAACAATGAACAAAATAGCAATAAGTACATACCTAACAATTACTTTAAATGTAAATGAATTAAATGCTCCATTCAAAAGACATAGGGTGGCTGAACTGATTTAAAAAAAAAAAAAAAAAGACCCCAAAATGCTGCCTTACAAGAGACTCATTTCAGATATAAAGACACACACACACTGAAAGTAAAGGGATAAAGAAAGCCATTCTATGTAAATGGAAATGAAAAGAAAGCTGGGGTACCAGTAATTATATCAAACGAAATAGATTTTTAAGACAAAGACTGTAACAAGACAAAGGGCACTACATAATGATAAAAGGATCAATCCAGCAAGAGGGTAGAACAATTCCATCTATGCACCCAATATAGGAGGGCCTAAATACGTAAAGCAAAGAGTTATAACATAAAGGGAGTAATTAACAGTAATACATTTGGCCCTTGAACAACATGGAAGTTAGGGGTGCTGATCTGCTGTGCAGTCAAAAACCACATAGAACTTTTGACTCCCCCAAAACTTAAGTACTAACAGCCTACTCTAGACCAGAAGCCTGATAATGTAAACAGTTGTTTAACACATATTTTGTAGTTATATATATTATATACTGTATCCTTTCAATAAACCAGAAGAAAATGTTAAGAAAATCATAAGAGAAATACATTTCTGTACTGTACTTATCAATACTGTAAGTGAATGTTATCTGTTAACAAGAATCATCTGTCAGTACCTACATATCAGTATTGTCTTATACCAAACACTATTACATGTGTTACAACAAAAATGAAAAGGCAATGCGAAAAAAGTTGTATTTACAAAATAAAACCTTTCTAATATATATTGAAAAAAAAATACATGTATAAGTAGACCTGTCCAGTTCAAACCTATATCATTCAAGGCTCAACTGTATAATAGTAGGGGCCTGTAACACCTCACTTACATCAATGGATAGATCATCCAGACAGAAAATCAATAAGGAAACAGTGGTCTTAAATGACACACTAGACCAGATGGACTTAATAGATAAAACACAGAGCATACCACCTCAAAACAGCAGAATACATATTTTTTTCAAGTGCGCATGGAACATTCTCCAGGACAAATCACACTGGTCACAAAACAAGTCTCTAAATTTAAGAGGACTGAAATCATATCAAGCATCTTTTCTGACCACAACAGTGTGAAACTAGATATTGATTTTAAGAGAAAAACTGGAAAGCACACAAACACGTGGAGGCTAAACAACATGCTACTGAATAAACAATGGGTCAACAAAGAAATCAAAGACAAAATTAAAAAAAAAACAAACCTTGAAATGAATGAAAATGGAAACAAAGCATT